GATCAGAAAGTGAATTTAGTTTTGAAAACTATACACCTCTTACATTTTTTAAAAGTACTAAAGTTAGGTTCGTTTTTTGCGATGGAATTGCATTTACTTTTTGTTGCTTTGAAAGATCATTGGCGTTGGAGACCTCTTAGTCATCGGTCTTATCATGTGGATTGTAGCACGCCATGTACGTGTGTATCGTACTTGTAGACTAGGACACGGGTGTATGTTCTACTGCATTGTAGACTATATTGTATGTACTTTATTGTAGATGTGTACACAGCGCGAGTGTAATTTATTGTGGACTGTCGTGTGTAATATTTTTTGCACACTCGAAATGAAAGACGTGTGCAGGTGCTCCAAAATCGAGGGCAAACACATTTATTGTGGTTAATCTGTAAAATGCAACAGCACGTGTGTCACACACAGCAATCTTCACCGAGTCGCCATTAACCACGTGACTGGTGTCCAAGTGCGGTTATTCAATCACAGTTTCTCTTAAACCCAATTCTACTGCTGATAAGCCATCTTTGTCTTTGACAATAACCTTTGCACTTCACTATTCGCATATTACTTTAACCCTAAGCTGTATGCCTGTCTATAGTCTATACCAGGGGTCGGCAACCTACGGCTCCGGAGCCGCATGCGGCTCTTTACGGGCTGCTTCTTGACGATATGTACAGTATGTACTCAGATGCATTGCGGCTCTTGAAATACTGAATTTTGTACCGAATTGGAAAGAAATGGCTCTTCTTGTTATTTTGGTTGCCGACCCCTGGTCTATACCATCGACTTATATTGGTATCTTACACCCATTACCTGTACTGTATGTGTGCTATATACTTACTGTACGTGTCACCATTGTACCACTTACGACTATGCATGTGTTCTCTTCTCAATAGCATTGCAAGTAGTCATACTCTGGGTGCATGGGCATGGTTATAGTCTAAACAGTATTAGGGTTAGATAATTAAAATTACAGTATGTAAATACAGTGCATCATCCTTTACAATACACAGTGCTAAAACCCCTCCAATTGAATATATCACAAACTAACAATTCAAAGCCAAGCTTGAAGTCTAGAACAAGTCTAGAACAAGTCTAGAACGATCAAAAACAACTTTTGAGTCCTTTACCTGTGAGATGCAACAGCACGTGTGTCACACACAGCAATTCTTCAACAGTCGTCAATAACCTTGTGACTTGTGTACAAGTGCGGTTAATCAATAACCCTGCCAGCCCCCGGACAGGCCCAACTCCGTTATCGCATGCTGGTGTACACACCTGCATTGATGTACTGCACAGCACATCAGGACTTTCACAGAACCACACTTTACTCCCTTGCTGCACAAGGACATAATTAAAAGAGTGATCCATTCATAATGTGTCACGTATATATGTGTACTGTATTGTTGACTGTAGAGTAGACATGTGTGTTGCGTCGTAGACTGGTGTGTCATAGACTGTTGTGTGTGTACTTGTAGTCTGGAGTGTGTACTGTATTGTAGACTGTAGTGAGTAGTGTGTGCGTTATATGGAAGACTAGTGTGTGTGTACTGTATTGTAGACGGTAGTGTGTGTTTACGTACTTTACAGGCAACCCTCACCGCACGCTGGGGTTACGTTCCTGGAAAATGCCACTTTCGGCCAAACCGCGTTAGACAAACAATAGACCTCATGAGTAAAATAGGGTTGCGTTCCCTGGTCTGAGATTATCACCCCCTTGCTCTTTATTTAACGAATTCTACGTGATTTCCGCCCTTGTTATTGTACTAAAGGATGTAGAGGCGTTGTCATTTATTGCGCGTGCGTAGTACGCCGTCGTGCGCATTGACTTTGTTTCATTATAACGCGAAAAAAAAAACACGCGCAAAAATGCACGTAAATAATACATCTTTCTCACACTCAGTTCATTCACATCTTCTGTGGGGGCTGCTGCCCCCCGACTCTTCACTCGTGGGAGGGCTGTTGGTCCCCTTCCTTCTCTCCCCCTTCCTCCTCTCCTTCCTCCCTCCGCACTGCTGCCGCTCGAGTCTTCGGTCTCGCTGCCTCCGCGTCCTCCCTGTGAGGCATGACTCGTGGCTGGCTCTCGGCCACCTGGGGTTATTCACACACTCCCCGTGTACACTCCCCCAAATGTTTGGAGGAGACTCCTTGCACGTGCATGCCCGTGCACGCTGCTGCCCACACTCGTGCATGCGCAGCCACCCACACCTATTGTCCGCCAGGAGCACGCGCTAAAAATAGCTGTATGAATATGCACGGGCGCGGCGCAGCACCACCACCACCAGCACCACCAGCACCACAACCACCACCACCACAACCACCACCACCACAATAACCATCACCACAACAACCACCACCAATGATGAAGGAATGTCGACGGGATTTGCGCGCAACACCCGGGCACAATGGTCGATGAACGTCGGCAGGATTCGCGCGCAAAACCCGGGTAAAATGACGCAGGAACGTCGACGGGATTCTGGCATGGTCGGCAGGATTTGCGCGCAAAACCAGGGTAAATGGCAGAGAAACGTCAACGGGATTCGCGCGCAAAACCCGAGCACAATGACCGCGCTGATGAAGTTATTCGCGCGCCAATTCCCCGCACTACGGCGAGCTATTACCGACGATACTCGTGCATCAATCCGTTGCGCAAGCGTGTGTGGTTAGCGTGGCCCAAACGCAACGACAATCGACTCGAGGTTACCTCACGTATTTCACTCGTTATTCACACCTGCACCGAATGTCCACGATCGTTTATCAGTGAATGCGTGCCGATCATCACACTTATACCCGTACTCACACCACCCCACGCTCTCTTCACATTCACAGAAATCACACGGCGCTGTTATTTTATGCTAGAGGTTTATTCCCGACGCGATTGTAATTAAACACGACCTGTCTCGGAGCCAGAATCACCCAGCGAGCAGCGTTTCACCTATTTCTATGAAATCTCTCGGTAGGTCCCTACGCTACCTGTCACCTCTCTCAAATACTCAAGGTTCTGCTCAGACGTGCGGGAAGTCGGGGAGAAACGAGGCTGCACGAAGTTCCTGCTGGGAACGGGTCCTGGCTGCGCTGCGACGCGTCACTCGGACGCTCGAGTGGCCGGAAGGTTGACGGTCCCGATCGCTGACTGGAAGAGAACTGAACTGGTCATCCTCTTCCTGCTTTTTATCCTGTTCTACATCAAAGAGGTCCTCGGCCAAGCTGACGGGGCTTCCAAGCCAATCATCACGTCTCCCCTGCGTGCTCCATCCGTCCATTTGGATCCTAATCTGCGCAGCCAATTAGACATTTACCCGTGGCCTAACCCCCCTCACTTCAAAGGGATTCTTGGCTAAGTTGGGCCACCCTCTCGGCCAATCCTGACGCTTTCCTGTGTGCTCGTTCCCCCGGGTAGCCTCAGCCCGCCCGGTACCCCACCCCCACGATCTGGCTCCGCGCCCCCACGGTGCCCTTAGTCCATTGTCCCCGCGCCCGTCCTTTACCACGCCCCTACAACTGGGTTCAAACCCCGCTCCTTGCTGGAAGTTCGGCTCCCTTCCCTTGTGCGGACTGTATTCTTACTGTGGTTGCCCGATGGGCTTCGCCGTGGCCATGCAATGTTAGGTCAGTCCATGGTGCCGCAGTGCGAATTTAACCTGGGGGAAATCTGCCAATTTCCTGGCCCCGGGAAACCGTGGAGCCCCCCACGAGGGGGTTCTCGGGTGAAAACCCAGAGGCCAGGTGACTTCCTCACGAGATCCTACGTGCCGGTATGTATGTGTGTCCGTGTGAGGGGTTGCGAGGGGGGAGCAGCGCCAGCAGAGCTGCTCCGTTGCTGTGGCATCACGCTTCCAACGGATGCAGGCACTCTCACAGCACTTTTGGGTGAACCGTGCCGAGTCGAAACACGGGTTTGATAAAGCCGCGTTGGGCAAGGTTTTCCTGTACACAGCTAAAGGCAACCTGCTGGAAATTATACTGCGAAAACGAGGAGCACTCATGGTTGAAAACCCCCTGCACTATGGAAGCCCAGGCTTCAGATTTGTTCAGGTGGCGTCTGCGACAGTGCTTGAATGGTACTGAAGCCAAATAGCTTCAACCCAGCTTCACCCGGTTTGCCACAAGACTCTGGCACTGCCTCCAAATTGTACAGGGTGGTCTAGGTGTCTTTTGACCCTCATTGAACTAAAACGAACTGTTTTTGTATACCAATAGGTGTGAAAACAAATGAATAAACAAAGGAAAAACATGTTAGGGCAAAATTACTTGGAGGTCACAAGGCATCTGGACCTCCCTATATGTAGTGCTGAACTTTACGCGGACAACTTCTTCCTTTTTTGTCGTCACTTTATTTTGTCCAACACAGCAAATTTGCCACCATCCTCGAGCGCGTTCTCCGCTCGCTCGCTCCGTTCCTCCCTCTCTCTCTCCGTCTCTCCCGACTCCCTGACTCCCCTCTCTGCTTCTCCGTCCCACTCCGACTGTCTCTCTCGTTCAGCTTCTCCATCTCTACTGCTACCCTATACTTCTTCTTCTGCTCCACTGCTACTCTACACTTTTTCTTCTACTCCACTGTTACTGTACACTTCTTCTACTCCATTGCTGCTCTACGCTTCTTCTTCTGCCCCGACCGACTGCGTCCAGCTCCCAGCACAACTCCCCGTCTCACTCTCTCTCTCCCGTATTTATGCCCGTCACTATTAATTTCCAATTAATTAGTTGGCGTCCCCCCCCCCCCCGAACGCCCCGCGCCCCCAGCCCCCGGCGCCACCTGTCCCCATTCCCAGACGTAGCGGCGCCACCCTGTCCCTGACAACAACTGGCCAATCACTGCCCTGCATCCATAATTGCCGAACCAGCCGTCTCTGTGTCCTCTGTTGTCCCCCAGCAATGCCAGCCTGTCCCGGTACGACCCCACTGTTCCCAGCCCACACGTGTTTACAATTACCCCCCTTGGTGTGCTTTAAACCACTACATATATACTGATTCAAATAGAATGCTGGGACTCTAGCATTTTGGAATTGCCAAATGCCAGCTAATTATAGATGTTTTTTTAAATGTAAGATTATAGTTTAAAGCATGGTAAAAATGTTTTTTTTCTTATCATAGTACGGTTTTCAAATAAAAAGACTTGTACAAATCATCTCAACAACAACCATTTATTATGTTACCCAATACTACGTTGATAAATGCAAATAATCTACCATTTGTCTCAACATAAATCAACAACACCACAGCACCATATGTGATACAGTAACAAAACCTCGTGTCCCAATTTTCTATGATGGATCATTAAACATATATCCAGAGCAAGCCATTTGTTTTGAATGCAGTAAAAACAAACACATCCATGAAGCGAAGGTAAACATGTTTCTATATGATATCAATTTACACAAGTGAAAACTACAACATTAATTTGGGATGCTGTTTGCATAAATGACACTGTATGAGGTCAAATATATATAACTGTGATTATTAGTTGCTATTATTATCTTGGCTTTCCCTGGTGGCACACGCTTAAGTGTTTACTGTTGCTCCGCGTGGTTAATTTTGTGTTCACCTCCATACCCGTGACAGTGTTTGTGTTGTCTCTGTGGTGTTCTCTCTGGTTCGTGTTGATTATGTTAGTTTGGTTTCTATATGGTTGTTCCCCATCTCTACTGGTGATCCGTGTCAGGCCAGCTGGCAGCACCGCGCCGATGTCCAGTCGATCCCACCGCACTGGCAGTGACACGTGCTGTCGTTTGGGATGTCCCACGAACCACACGCGCTTCCACACGAACACGACACTGCTATGTGCCCTGCGGGGGAACAATGATAGATGCGATCACAGTGCACATTATGGGGTGATGCCATCGGAGGTGACGTCATGAACATTGAATTGAAAACCCTCTTCAGAATAACCAGGATGTTGTGCATTGAGACTTTGTTCTTATGAAAAGAGACATGTACACAACAGCAAGTGTTTACAATGATAGCAAAATGTTTGGTTTGTTTAAACTGTAAGGGCACTATTGTTAAAAACAATAATAACCAATCACGTAAAATTGTGGAAATGTATTATCATCGATAGTTCCTTATATCACAAAACTATGGAACTGTGAGGATCACCTGGTACCATGAAGACAGAATTGACAGTACGTTTCACCTTACGAAGAGCGTTAAAAGCCAACACATAAACCCATTAACATACTTTAACATGTTTTTCCACGGAAAATATCCTAAAACAATTCCCCAAATAAATTCCTGCTGATTGAATCAAACCATCGCCTGTGTGCAGAGTCGATGGGTCACAAGGTCACTTGCCGCTAGGATATTCAACCACGTGATGTTCCACAGAGTCCCCCCCCCCCCCACACACACATCCCTCTCACCTGTGGGGCAACTCGCGGTGGCACCTCTGCTGGAGACGTTAATGCAGGAGATGCGTTTCGTTGCAGCTGGAGTGCCAGGACTCCCAGGGGATCCAGGAAGACCAGGGATGCCTTGTTCCCCTCTCAGGCCGTTGTTACCAGGGGGACCAGCTGGTCCAGGAGGTCCAGCGCTCCCAGCTGGGCCAGGTGAGCCAGCTGGGCCCAGTGGTCCAGCAGGACCGACACTGCCCGGGTTGCCTGGCACACCTACAATCAGGACACACCGGAATTGTCTGAGTGTAAGTGAGTGTAAGCTTTCATTTATGAAAGATGTCAAAGTCTTTTTTAAACTCCACGTTACAGTCGATGAAGCACTTAGTTAAACTCTAACAAAATGTAATTCCTGGTTGCAGAAGAAAATTAATGATTTGTGTCTATGCAAACTAGCCAATTGGCAGGCATGCTAACTCTGAGAATATGTTCGGAAATTGAAATAATATGAAACGTATAACTCCGTTCAAATGAGCATGTTGTAAAGATAATGTTTTGTTGATCCACGGGGAAAGGTTTTACCAATTCATCTAACTGTAACTGACAACTCCCAATATATTACCTCGTGATCCATCCTTTCCACGAAATCCTCGTGGGCCTGGGGATCCGAAACAAATGCTGCACACACAGGACAGGTGGAGAAATAAGATGGAACAACAGTTTTCCCTTCATCAGTGTAATGTTAATATGCGAGTGCCATATCTTAAAATGCTGAATTAGCTTCATTTTTCGCCTCGGTATCCATCCTAATTGAGGATATTTAGGATGTGTTTCAGCTTCATAGAATAACATTTTGTGAGTTATTTTCTTTCTTTCTTAAGGATGTTCACTTAAACACATCTGAAAAGTGAATGATACAAAATGTTTAATATGTACCCATGTGCTGTACTGAATATTATAACTTTAAAAAGTAACACGTTTACCATCTATAGAGTGTAAAATACATGATGGTCAGCTGACATTGACAAATCCTTTTTAAACTGTACACAAAACAATAAAATACAGTAATGCCAGTTGTACCATATTCATACCCAAACAATGGTTTACATCAAATGTCAATGAGAAAAGTGCTTCATATTATTTAGTTCTATACAATTACTATTTTTAATGCAATTACAATTGTACCGTTGATAATTGGTTCTTTACCCTTCTATCTGGCAACAAAACTGACACCTTTTTGCAAGGAGTCATGTTTGCATAGACCGCAATACCTGCAGTCATAATACAAACAAAAGAACATAACTCTGATAATGTGCACTGTCCTTGAAGTTGATTGGTCCACACCCGAGACAGCTTTCCTTCGAGCCTAGTCTCATATGGGTTGGACCAGATGACTGCAGGTATTGCGGTCTATGCAAACATGACTCCTTGCAAAAAGGTGTCAGTTTTGTTGCCAGATAGAAGGGTAAAGAACCAATTATCATATTTTTACTGGCAAATGAGGTCCCCATAGTACAATTGTACCATTAGTCACATGCAACACTTATTTTTGCTCTGAGATACTCTCATAGAGAACATGGCCATATAAAATGTAATACAAAACAGTGCTTCCATTTTCCGATTCTCATTACCTGCAGCTTTTGGGAAGAGCTTCCTGTTCATTCTTTTCACAAAGCAAAAACACACACATTGTGAAGTTACGTGAATAGCCAAGTACCGTAGTGTATTTATGCTTAATTTGATTCAGTGGAAAATGAAGCAGTTATCCAAATTCTCACGAACCAATGTCTTGTTACTCAGTACATAAAGGTAAACAATACATCAGGTTAAATGTCGTTCCTGGATAAGCAAGCATAATAACACACAGTTTCAATGCCTACATGTCACAGAATACACAGTTAAGTCAATCGAGATTACTTTAAATATAGTACACATGCTGCATTGAATATTGTTATTGGGATACGCATACTGCATGCGATTTTCTTTTTATAGCGTACACAGTATTAATTACGTAATATTCTCTACACACACTCATTCAATGTGCAGATTTAAAGTCGTCACCATACCTCTTCTTCATGGGAATCATTGCTGTTTAAAGGATCGGCATGCGTCGGATGAAAGACGAGGAGCAAGACTGCCAGGCTGCACAATAACTTCATGTTTGCACTACTACACGATATTAAATTACAATGACTGTAACTCTTCAGCATGCGTGCAGGTATTTAAGGGGACAGCATTGAAACCCACGCCCCAATAATTTGGAAAATCACAATAATTTGATTGCTCAACAGCATTTTAAAAAATATTGCATGCCACACCCTTAGAAGGAGGGGTTTGAGGACATTCAGTGACAAAATAATACCAAATCATGTCTATCAACATCCCACAGTTCAGCATAGTTCACTGACTGATGATGAGACACCGATTATCGAAACCAGCCCAGAGATATTTGTTTTCCCCTGTGTTCAGTCAATGCAGATGAAACAATTCACTGTCGCTTTTGCTGACAAGAATACATCTTACCACAATGCATTGTGCCAGCAGCATCTCGTAATTTTACTTTCAATAGAAAATTTGTACGATTTGGGAGTAATGGTTTTTTATTCATTGAAAGATGTTGAATCAATCGCGACTAATAGTTCAACTATTAGTAAGCAAATGCAAAAACTGGTCTTCGAGCTGAATAATTCAAAACTTTGTATTCTCATCAGGTCCCGTGGTGTAAATAAGTTCAAGACGCCAACTCACATTCTCCACTATCCCCTCTTCAGTGGGCAGTGCACAACACCCGCTTGTTGCACCCCACGTCTATGTACAGAGACTCCCGCCCTCACGAACCCCCAGGGACCAGCGTGGACGCGCGGTCAAATAAGCCCCATTACCCACTCGGCATGTGGAGGCCCTCATCCAGCAGTGGATTGACAGAGAGCTGTTGAAGTTCCATCAGGCAGCTCTAAATAAATGTTTTATCCGTGCGCCAGAAATAAAAGTCAGGTCGTAAACCTCAAAACTGACCAGGGTGGCGATACACGGTTAAGAAAAACTATATCCGACGTGGTTTTGGAAGACTTTCATCTAGCAGTGGAAGCACAAAGGCAGTAAACGAAGCTGTTGTCGGCTTGAGGCCGAGGTAGCGGTGCCCCCCAGAGACGAGAACCCGCCAGCCCCGCTGTGCGTGAGCGACACGCACAGAGTGGAACTTGCATATTGAAGTCTGTGGGGAGCACTGCCAACTTTGGGTGAGCGTGTTACATTTGTTTAACAGCTCTTGGCCATATTCTTGGTTCTTTCGGTAAAGTCACGTAGAAGGGAAATACAAAAATAATTAAAATATATAAAGTTCTCACGACGTTTCGATTGCAACACAAGCAATCACCATCAGGTGTGAAAACCACAGCAAGAATTTTTCGTTTTTAAATCGACACTTTTTTCCAAAAAAGTTATTGCTGTGGGTTTCACACCTGATGATGATTGCTTGTGTTGCAATCGAAACGTCGTGAGAATTTTATTGTTTAATTTTTATTCTTTTATTATTTCCCTTCTACGTGACTTGACCGAAAGAAGCAAGAATATGAATCCCTGCAGTCACGAAAGCTCTAAATCGAAAAGCTCTTGGTCAATCCACTGCCGGATGAAGGCTTCCCCACAAAGCCACTGTCGTGTTTATCGTGGTAATGCAATGTAACATAGAACTCGAAACCAATAAAAACCTGGTGAATTCCAATTCTGAATCCCAAGTCGTCAAGAGTTTGACCCTGAACAGGCAGTGCCCCCTACAGACATTGAAATGCCAGTTCGGCTTCGTGCGCGTGAAACGTGGAGTAAACAGCGCCCCCTGGAGACACGAAAACGCAAAAACTTTCTAAAAGCCTACAACACCTGGTATTCCCAGGCGGTCTCCCATCCAAGTACTAACCAGGCTCGACCCTGCTTAGCTTCCGAGATCGGACGAGATCGGGCGTATTCAGGGTGATATGGTCGTAGGCAAGAGCTCAGAGGAGATTTAGTAAACTTATCTCCAACGTAGATTGTGACCCACCTTTGGACAAAGTGACTTAACTTATTGTGTGAAAACACCGCCTGCAGTCATCCTCGCATTCACAGTGGAGTTCAACTCAAGACGTCTCGGTGCAAACCCAAGTGGTGGTCTCAGCTCTGGAGCAACATCTCAGTTCTGAGCAGCTATCTCAGAGTAAAAGTTGTCACCATATTTACGAACAGTACGTGTGTGTGTATTTAAACCAAAACGTATAGACTTTGTTAATCCGTTAATGGATGAAGACCGCCACACGCCTTGTCTGTACGATCCCGGGGGTTGATTGAGCATACTTCACCACGCTGGTGGACGGTGCGGGTTGGTGGGGAAGTGGTGGGGGTGGAGAGAGGCTGACCTGGTTCGCATATCACTCGACACCACCGATGTTAGCCGTGCCCGGGATTCTAACTCAGCTCAGCAGCTTCACTGCACCGTGACGCTGAGAGCCACGGCGCCCTAAGGGCTGTGGTCTTGACAGTGGCAGAAGTGAGCTCTGGGCTCGCCATCTGAAGCTGGTGGTGAACACGAGTTTTGTGGGTAACATTTACTCGCTGTGAAAATATCATTAGCCATATCAGCCGGAAGAGTTAATGTTGGAGATAAGTATACTAAATCTCCGCTCAGCTGTCGCCTACGACCATATCACCCTGAATACGTCCGATCTCGGAAGCTAAGCAGGGTCGAGCCTGGTTAGTACTTGGATGGGAGACCGCCTGGGAATACCAGGTGTTGTAGGCTTTTTGTTCTCGGCTTTTGCCTCTTTCCGTCGGCAGGGGGAGCGCTTTCTACCCCGCGTGTCGCTCACGCACAGCGGGGCTGGCGGGTTCTCGTCTCTAGGGGGCACCGCTACCTCGACTACGCCTGTCAATGCAGGTGGGTGGAAGGGAGGCTCCAGCCACGAGCAGGAATCAAACTCGGATGACACTGGGTCCGTTGCTCAGTTTAATTTATTAGGTTTATCCCTGTGAGCCATTCGGCTATTGAATCGGGTGCAACCGCAACAAACAAAAACATGAACAAGAAAACATCTTAATGTGAATATGTGCAAACAGAAAAATCCTGGGAAAAAAAAACTGCAAAATATTGCAGAAAAAGCACGCTGTGTGCAAAAATCCCAGTGGGATGGAAGTCAAACAACAACAACCACAAGACAACTCAGCGCGTGGTGCTCGGATGCACCCGTGGCGAGGTGGTCAGCGCACTGCCCATGTAGCAGCCTCATCTCGGTGGGATCTGTGCGAGGTTTAAAATGAAGCACCTGGACTGGAGAGGGCCCTGTTTCGCTACCTGGACTTTAGTAGCAGCGTGCAGAGGTGGGACAAAGTCATTGTTATGCAAGTCCAAGTCGAGTCTGAAGTCATCAAATTCATGACTCGAGTCTGACTCGAGTCCAAGTCACATGACTCGAGTCCACACCTCTGGCAGCGTGTTTTGTGTTGGGTTTCTATTTATTACGTAATCAGCAGCGGAAACCTTGGTCAATCCACTGCTGGATGAAGGCCTCCCAAAGCCACTGCCTTGTATATCGTGGCTATGTATTGTAACATAACACCGTAAGCCAACAAAATATGGTGAACTTCAATTCTGAATCCCAGGCATTAGGACTACATTACCCTGAATTCTTGATCTCGTTAGATCTCGATAGCCAAGCAGGCTCGAGCCTGGTTATTACCTGGTTAGTGGCCATCTGGGAATACCAGGTGTTGTATGTTTTTATTTTCGTGCGTTGAATGGGGCGCTATTTACCGCACGTTTCACACGCATGGAGCCAAACTGGCATTTTCATGTCTGTAGGGAGCAGTGCCACACGCGTTTAAACTCTTTACTGGAGATTCAGAATTCAAATGAACCACGTTATATTGGCCAACAGTTGTATTTTATTTTGGATATTCACGAGGCATTGCAGTGGCTTGGGGATTGCTTTCATCCAGCAAGTTGGCTGCTGATTATGTAAAAATAGGCCCTATACCAAAAACACACTTTTCAAGTCCAGACTGACACAGCACAGTTTAGGTGACGAAGCAATGCCATCTCCAGTTCAGGTATAATGAAACTAAGTTCCGGTACAGCTGCCTCTCAACTCTTTACGCTTTTATCCAATTAAAGACAGGGTTGTGATCACATTTGTGTACTATATATACGTATTATTTACCCCAAGTTTTACACGCATATAGTGGACCTGGAATTGCCGTGGATGTAGGGGGTACTGATTACTCGGGTTGAGCCTTTATGGATTGCAGAATCAGAATTCACCAGATATTTTTTAATTTGCCGCTACGTTAAACGTAATTTTGACTGTTCAGAAAAGTGGGACTTGTCAGGACACGTGACGATAATTGATGATTTTTTGTTGTATTTGAAACAAGTGACAGAACCGACCGAGATAACTTTCATTCGTAAGTTAATTCTGAGGTAAAAAGTGATTAAAAAAAGCGATATAAAAAAATGGATGGCGACTGTCTAAAGTGCATTTGTCTTCGGAAGTTTGTTACCCTAATATAAAGTAAGGAAACAGTTGAGTGGAGAGAATTCATATTATACACCAATCAATCGTAGCTGTAAAGCATTAATATAGATACAGTGTGTGCAAGACTGCTATACATCCTTTGGATATTGATGGACTTGTGAGACTTGGGCTTTATAATTTAAATAAACACTTGTCACTCAAGAATAACAGGTTCTTAACAGGTAGTGTGACTACACAAGAACATTCAATAACACACGTGATGTATTATATACACGGACAGTGTGTTCACGTATGAATTGAATGCTCCATGGAGGTTCAGAACACGTTTAATTTAGCGTGATATTTATTCCATAGCATTTTATCTTAATTTTATACATCGTTAACGCATTGCCCACCGATGGAGAAATATTTAAAATCGCATTTGTGAACGTATTAATGATCAGCCCATCCACCCTTTATATCTGTAGTGCTGAACTTCACGCGACAGCTTCTTTCTTTTCCTTCGTCACTTTATTTCACTAACATCATTTAACATTGCCCTCACATGCTCTCCGCTCGCTCGCCGCGTTCCGCCGGCCTCGCTCGCTCCGCGTCTCCGTCGACTCTCCTCTCCGCTTCCCCCGTCACAGTTCAGCCGCTCTCCCGCGGCTTCTCCGTCACACTCAAGCCGCTTTCTGCTGGCTTCGCCGTCACACTCTACGCTACTCTACGCGTCTCTCGCTCCGCTGCTACCCTGTACATCTCCCGCTGCTACCCTGTACATCTCCCGCTGCTACCCTGTACTTCTCCCGCTGCTACCCTGTACTTCTCCCGCTGCTACCCTGTTCTCCCGCTGCTACCCTGTACTTCTCCCGCTGCTACCCTGTACTTCTCCCGCTGCTACCCTGTACTTCTCCCGCTGCTACCCTGTACTTCTCCCGCTGCTACCCTGTACTTCTCCCGCTGCTACCCTGTACTTCTCCCGCTGCTACCCTGTACTTCTCCCGCTGCTACCCTGTACTTCTCCCGCTGCTACCCTGTACTTCTCCCGCTGCTACCCTGTACTTCTCCCGCTGCTACCCTGTACTTCTCCCGCTGCTACCCTGTACTTCTCCCGCTGCTACCCTGTACTTCTCCCGCTGCTACCCTGTACTTCTCCCGCTGCTACCCTGTACTTCTCCCGCTGCTACCCTGTACTTCTCCCGCTGCTACCCTGTACTTCCCCCGCTGCTACCCTGTACTTCTCCACCGGTACCCTGTACTTCTCCACCGCTACTCTACTTCTCCGCCGCTACCCTGTACTTCTCCACTGCTACCCTACACTTCTCCACTGCTACCCTACACTTCTCCACTGCTACCCTATACTTCTCCACTGCTTTGGCTCCAACCGTCTTCTTCTCCTCCCAGGCGCGAACTCCCGTCAGCTCCAACTCCCCTGTATTTATGCCCGACCCAATTAAATTCCAATTGACTAATCGGCGTCCCTCCGACGCCCCCCCCCCCCGCTCCTAGCCCCCCTCCGCCACCTGTTGTTTTTCCAGACATCGTGGCGCCAGACCCCGACAACAACAACCACCGACCAATCACCGTCTTGCGTCCTTAATTATCCT